CATAGCAAATAATTTTAGGTTTAACAGTCAGGAGTTGAGCTATTTAAGACATGTATCCATTCATATCTAGAAGTATGTGAAAAAGTTTGAGCATTTATCCCCTTATATACATGGCAAAGTCACAGACTAAAACCTGTCTACACATATCATGCTGTAAATGTTATTTAGTTCTGCTTATTTATATCTTCTATTGACAAGCTATAATAGTATTTGCAACCAATAGCCCAATATTAAAGCCCTTGAAGTCTTTATTACCTCACAGAAAGGATTTGTGGGATAAAACTGACCTCTATAGTAAGCAGGATGGACTAAATAGGTTAGGCTATTAATAATGAAGCTTCGTTACCTTGAAACAGTATGAATCCTCAGACTATAAAACATCATGAATTTCTATTTACAAAGTTTTAAAGTTTTCCTAAAATTTGATAAAACGGTAGAAGAAATATTTCCCTTACATGACTTCTTATCCCATCAGAAATATATATTTCCCGTTAATTTTTCTCTTTAAGTCAAACGAAAACCTTGACTAATTACATGCCGAAGTTCAAAGTGGACCAAAGTTAGTAATACATATCCAGTTGATCTAAAAACCATTTTTTTGTTAGAATTTTATTTTAAAAGTTGTTCAAGACCAGGTTACAAGGTTGTTGAAAACCTGGGTAATCATTTTGTTAAGTGTACGAAAGAGAAAAGACAATAAAGTTTACCAAAAAGTTAATATATTTTCTATTTTGTATAACCATTCAGTAATGATGTAACCAACCATTCAGTTAACTATTGGTTGATCATTCAAAGTAACCAAGCAGATTTATCTCTCTGCATGGCTCACCCCATTAATTTGATTTCTAAACTGGTAATTTAAAATACTTGTGCTTATTAAAAAGTAAAGTATATTAAAATTTTTATTAAAATACGAGGTCCTTAACTAAAATTAAGGAATTAGCCATTTTAAGAAATTAAAACAGTATATAAGAAGAGTATTATAAAAATACTCTAAACAGCTGCTACATCATGACTGACCATACTTCCTTTTGGATGTGCTTTTAACACTAAGATTCTCTAAATCTCAACGTACGTGCATAGGATGTGGTAAGGTGACAATTGGCAGCCAAACACAAACTTCCTGGCAGATATTCTGAGTCATTTTATTAACAGGCTAAAATCATGAAAACCCTCTCCAAAGTCACAGTAGCATACACATACTTTCCAACACGGTAACACCTGTCATTCAGTGATGGCATACAGCTTCTTAAGATCCTCTTCCTTTCCACAGAAGAATTCAATCAGAAATAGCACTATAAAACTAGTGACTCAGCATAAAATAAAATCTCCCAACCTCCTAATGTAATCAATCTTTTATAAACATCAGATAATGTATACCAATGACTTGGATGACAAGTGTCCCAAGGCCTAAAAGGCTTAACACTCATATCTCAGTCATGGCTGAGGGGCCAGTAAAATGAGCACCATGACGGACTCCTGCATTCTTCACATTGTGCTCATGGACACAGTCTGGGTAGTTTCTATGTGCGGTCTGGGGTGGGGGCAGGGCCCTTGTATTCCACTGGTTTCCACCATGTTGGCAGCAGTCACTGGCAGCAGAGAGCCTGGATGGTTGGGGAGTGGGAAGGGAGCAGAGTTAGTGAACAGGAACAGGAGAAAACAGATGTGAGAGGTAGTAAGGAAAAAGCAATGCGATTAGCATGCACCATTCCTCTGAGCAGCTACCAACATCTACTCCATGCGACAATATTCAAGAACAACAAAGGGCAGAAATCCACACAATTACATAGAATGGAAAAGTATCAATTTGTGTGAGCAGTCAGAATTAGCTAAATTAATTAAGGAGGAAATCTCACAGACAGAAAGACATCCTGTATCTGTCCCTGATATTGCTCAAAAAATGAAACAAAACAAAACAAAAAAAACCAAAGGTAGAAATGTTTGGGTTCCAATGGAAAAAAAAAAATATTCAATGCGAGGATGTAGTGGTATACCTTGTTAATTCCAGTTCTCAGAGGCTGAGTAAGGAGGAGGCCAGCTCCAAGCTGGAGGATAGTCTGAGCTACACAGTGAGTTTAAGGCATAGCAAGACCCTGTCTCTAAAAAAAAGAACGAAGGCAGGAAGGCAGGAAGGAAGGAAGGAAGGAAAGAAAGAAAGAAACAAGAAGAAAGAAAGATAAAGAAAAAGACAGAAGAAAGGAAAAACAAAAATTCACAATCTACTTATTCAAGTATTTGAAAAGGTAAAGCCTACACAAGGACAAAGGCATACGTAGAGAAGGGCAACTGTGAAAATTATCCCCCTAAATTAAGAGATTTCATAACATTGAAATCCAGTAAACAATTAAGAACATTAAAAAACACATCAGAAGCCATGCAATTTTATATCAGTGTTCCCAATTAACAACAGAGAATCACTGTACCTTTCAGCCAAAGTTCAGAGGATGTCAAAATGAAATACAACAGGTACAGATACTATGATGAAATTTTAAGACCTCTCCAAGAACCAATTTAGTAAGTATATTAGGTACCTTTTATTGCAATGCTACAGAACTAGAAGATTGAAACATGTAGACATAGTTAGGTATGGGTTAGATGTGATCAGTCCTCCAATAGAAAATTTGCCACGGTTCAGCAAACTGAAATTTCACAATATGGCAAAAGGGAAGCAGATTATTTCAAAGATCTACAAAGAGAAAAATCATTCCAAATATAAAATATCTCTAAAAATACTTTAAAATAGCATTATTTTTTCTAACTCAACCAAAATATCAGTCTTTAACTTTTTTCTTCAGGAAAACTGAAAAGAATTTTTCACAACAAATGTGAAAGACTTCTTTTGAAACAATAAAATCTTTCCTTCAAATAAAATTATTTTATTAGACACAAAAATCATGATCCTCAATTTAAGTCTAAAAATTTAGAAGATTAGGCTTATGTTCTCCCTTATAAATGAAAGATTTTCTAAACATTCAGTTTTCTTTTCTGGTTGCTTGTAAACAATTTGTATATTTAAATTACATGAAATGTTTCCTCATAAATGTGATAAATTTTCAGTTACTGATAGATAAACTCACCCGCCGAATTAATGATACCATTTAAAACTTCAACAGGGGGTAGTTTTAGATTAAACTGGCTATAAATTGTCTGCAAGAAATAAGACGGTCCATTATTCTGCCCCGGTGTTCAAACCTAGGGAGCACTTTGAAACTTTATTAATTTAACACTTTCTAAAAGAGGAATGTTCCACATTCTTTTAAGTCAAAGCATGCAGAGACACAATTAAATGCAGAATGTATTTTAAATAAGGCCAGAGAATCCATTAGCTCTAAGACATGTCATAGCCATATTCAGTTCCATGCCCTGTTAACACACACTGAGGCTCATTAGATTTTAGGGATCATCACTTTACTCCATTTCAGAAAAGGAGTTCTCAGCACAACCACATAAAAGGAGGACACACAGTTCCAAATCTTTCATTTTTCTTGAAAATCAATCAGACTCAATACACACATTCACTTTCTAGAGGATGCAACAAAAGAACTGGGTAGTGCCTAACAAATCAAAGAGATTTAAATATGTACCTACTAAGGTGGAAAAACTCAAAGATTTAATGACAGGATAAAAGATGCGAACTAGCCAAATTCTCATTCTTTATTAAAAGACAAACATAGGGGCTGGGGATTTAGCTCAGCGGCACAGCGCCGGCCTGGCAAGTGCGATGTCGTGAGTTCAATTTCTGGTATAGGAAAAAAAAAAAAAGTCAAACATATATTAAGATATTTTTTTTTTTATTGTTGATATCTCAGTATTACTTTTCTTTGCCAGTAAGAGTCAATGGAAAGAAACCTTGCAGCCGTATTTTCAGTAGGGAATTAAAACTTTTTAAAATGGCTCTAAGACTAAAATTTGACACTTAATGGCCTTATTCTTGAAACTAGGTATGTGCCCATGCGCAGAAAGCATCCTCACCACACTACCAAGTAAAAACAAAAACATTTTTAAAAAGAAAATGTGAACTCCTCCTGATCTTAATTGGAAGTTATTTGGAACTGAAGTAAAAATATCCCCTCAAACAGCAAAGCACCCTGCAGTTAGTTAAGCCAATAGTAATAGTGAAAAATAAAAATTACATAGCAAAGACTAAATATAATCACCAACCACTGTTGACCCACCACCAGGAAGGAAGAACTGGTTGCACAGAAAGCTGACCAAAACCTTGAGATCACCACAGAAACTCATTAGATTTCAGGTACTAAACCAACTAAGAGCAAGAGAAAAAGAGAAAAATTCTATGAATCATCGAAGTTTGCTTAATAATAAACAGACATAAAATTTGAATAGATGATACACCCAACATGACCACTCAATCAAGTAATTCCCAAGCAGCACCACCTCCCCAAGCCATATATATTTAGGAAAGGATGAACTCAACTGATCAACACCAATAAACCACAAAGTATCCATATTTGTGTATTTATTATCAATCTAGAAAAAGACCCTGGAAAGCTAAATAAGTACCTTTGTTCCCATCAGATTATCTCTGAATCTCCAAAATATGGTATATTTCATGCTTTATTTTATAAGACTTTAATCACGTTTACCTTTTGACTTTACATTTGGTCTTTAATGAAGAAAACATATCTAAGGTTGTAACATGTTGTACGCAAAAACATGTAACAAACATATTTTTCTATGGATCTGGGAAAGGGTTCTAGTGGCTAGCACAGAAGTCTTTTCAACACAGAACCATCTACCACTCCCAGATCATGCTTATGAAAACAAAGACAGCTGTCTCATGTTCTTCATTTAGACAACTGCACTCCCTTCATGCACATACCTTATTTTCCCCACCTCTGTGACTGCTCAACATTATGCTTGTCAACTCACAAATATGAATAATTTGCTTTTAACCATATTTAAAGTATTCCAAGATTATAGCATATAATTTAGAAATAATTAAACAAGCAATAATTTGTTTTAAGAAGTTAACCAACCATTTCCTGTCATGCTGATCCATTCCAGAACTCCGTGGAAGATTCTCTATTTCCACCAGCACAGGGCCAGAGGATGTGGAAGGAATCACAGGCACAGCAGATCTCACACCCCAAGCCTTTGGACAAAAATTATAAAAATTATCTATTTTGCTTAAAGAAAAGATCTCACCAACAAAGTGTACTAAAATGGACTCCTGTCCATATGGCGATAAACATTTGAATCTTACGTATCATCACAGAAATAATGACTTAACTGAATATTACTATTTTCTTAATTTTCCTAGAGTTACAGGGATAGAAAATGTTTTATAGACCACCTGCTCTACTTGTAACATCTTAAGGTAGTTAAAATAAGGAGCTAGATATTACTGAGCCACTTAAGAGATGAGGAAAAGAAAATGAAATTAATATTACTTACTATAACTACAATGTTCTAGTGTTTCCAAAGCTTAATAGTATCTTACCTGTTGTGACTCATTATTCTGGGTTGAAACATTGTTGTGAACACTGTAATGGGGGGAAAATCTATTAAGGAATTATATCTAAAATTCCAGGGCCTTAATTTTAAAGACTACATACAATAATGAAAACTGCATCAAAGACATCAATGTTCTGTTACAGAGAAAAAAATCCATCAGTAGCATCCAAAACTAAGACTGTCAGATGCCCAGAAAACATTTATAGGCAAATACTTGCTTTTCTATAGACTACGCATTTGATATTTCCATAAATATTTATTTTAATTTTGCTTTAGTATATGTGCTGCCGAAGTAACCACTTAATTTTGCTTTAGACATTTACCATTAATCTTGTTTATTCATTAGACAAAGACGGCAAAGGAGGAAAAAAAAGCATAAACAATTCCTTAAAAGATATCCAGCACAAAGACCCACATAAACTTACCAGTAACTTTTATATATTCCTACTCACTCAATATTTTCCACTGTCAGCAACAGCTCAGCATTTTATTATCCCAAAGCCTTTATTATAAAGTCAGAAATTTCTATGTAAACTTTCCTCTCCAAATGATTTATAAATACATTTTAAAATTTAGAATTTAGGCTGTATTCTGCCCCACCATCCAAATTGCCCTCCCTTCCAAAAAACTTTAAACCCCCTCAATCTATATAATACAACAAACAGAAACAAACTATAAAATAGCTGAAAATAAAATAACAATTCAATAAAATAAGAACTCAATTTTTTTATTTTTTTGTACCAGGAATTGAGCTTAAGACCGCACGCTTGTGGTGTCATGCCGCTGAGCTGTACGTTCAGCCCAAGAACTAAAATATTACCTCATGAGAATAACGGAAAAATGTCTGTGGACTTCAGACATTCTAATACAATAGTTGTATCTCTGAAATAAAAGTACCATTAACATAAAAAAAATGTACTAAAAGTTTTCAGAAGAAAATTTCTTGAAAGTGAGAAAATAATCTACAGATTAGACTGTACTTAATTGAGTATCTCATTATCCTCCAGGAAATACTTATTATTAAGCTCCTTCAAGGATAAGGCACACCAAGAACATTTAAGGAGGTCAACGGAGTGTCAGCTTGGCACACACTTTTTCATAGTAATATTCAACAGGAGTATAACCTTGCTAAGATGTCATTCTACTAAAGGCAAAGCTTTCAAAACACGAAATCTGAACACAGCATCCAGAAGTATTTCTTAGGGGATGAGAGCAAAACAAAAACTACATCAAGATGAAACCCAACCAATTAAGAAAGAACTCAAGATTAAAAAGGCCTACTAAAAGGCCAGGTAATGAGGAGTGGAGACATTTATATACTACTTTTTATGAATTACATTTCAATTACAGGCGCAGTCACCAGAACTTGCATTACTATTGTCTGGAGTCAAACTCAAATTGGGCCATTAACTCTGCTCTCTGCTCCTCAGGTTCCTTAATGTGCATGAAATTTAAGAGAATTTTTTTTAAAGAGAATTAAATTCATTAATAATTAACAAAAGTACAAAGAAAAGTGATAAATAAAACCAACCACTCAACAAACAAGAAAAACTGTTTACAGATCCTGTTTAATCAGGATAATTAGATTAAATGAATGAGACTAATCTGTTTTCAAAAATTTTTAACACATAGTAATTACATATATTAATGAATACAGTGTGACATTTCAACACATGCACACAGGATGCACTGATCAAGTCAGAGTAATTAGCATTTCTTCCTTTTTACTATCATTTATGTTTGGAGCCTTCCAGGTCCTCTATTCTAGATTGTCATAAAATATACAATAAATAATTTGAAAAATCTTATTAAAACCTAACTGATCTCTCTTTCCCCAATCTAATTTAAGACCAAGTTTTTTATAATTGTTTACTTATATAATTTTAAAGATTCAGTTTTAAAAACTTTTAATTTTACCTTCAAATCCATTACAAAATCATTAAAACAGAAAAACAGTGTAGATCCACTGCCAAGATAACCAGAAAAATATACATGTTCAGCACAATTCCTTTTTATTGTGTTGCTCTTCCCAAAATACCTTACACTAATACAAGGAAATGATGATCCTAAACATAACTGAAACTGCATGCAGCTTGCTTGCTACAGAAATTAGACTCACTAGTGTGTGCTACTCTGTGGCCCCTTTGTTGTTTTATGAAGCTGTTCCTTTATCTGAGAATAACTTCAGTTGAAGTGATGAATAAAAGATAAATAAGGATAACATAAGAAAAAAATGCTTATAGTAAGTTACCTAAATCATAGTTTATTTTTTTTTAAAGTAAGCTGAATTGCAGAAGGCACTATTTTCTTATAATTAAATATACTATTTGACTTTCAGGAGTGTGAAATTATTAAAGAATTTTTCATTACTAATCTAGTCATAGCTTTCCCTTTTAAATAATCACATGTAAATAATCACATTTTTTACTCCTATAACCCCCTGCTTGTTTCTTCTTTTCTTCCCTTTCCTGCTCATTCAGTCTGTATAAAAAGAACTAGAAGGCATATACAGCAGTACACATCTAGTCCCAGCTACTCAGGAGGCTGAGAGGTGGGAGGATCACTTGAGCCTGTAAGTTTGAGACCAGAATGGGCCATTCTCAAAAAAGAAGTACTTGTTAGTAACCAAAATGCTGACTATCGGTTCAACGTCACCACTTCTTAATATACTTTGAACAGGACTCACAAGAAAGTTGTCAAACAATGTAAGAAGACAAAACAGTAGAAGGATGGCAGTGCAAGGATGGCAGTATGAGGAAAATTGCTGCCATCAGTCAGTTAAAAATCTAAAACTACAAAGTACACAATCCAGACGCTTTTTACGTCAAATTGTTGTGTCCTTTCAAAAAATATTGTTTTCTATGGTTCACTGGAGTGAAACCATTCATGCAAGCAGAACTGCAAGGCAAAAGCTAAAGGACATGCATGCAAGTCCAAGCACGGGTTCTCTCAAGCACTGTTACAACTGGCGTCGATAACCTTCAGGAGAGTTGGGGCTCCCTCTTCATTTCTTTTCTAAAAGACTATTCTTAAGGGAAAATAAAAAGGTTGCCATTGCTTTGCTAGCCAATTTCTGCTATTAACCTGCATAAAAGCATTAGTAATGCTTTTAAGTTAATTTCAATTCTAAGAGATTTTTCATGTCCAATTTCTAATCAGAAATGTGTACTTCAGAACATTTTTGACTGGGATCTAAAGTGTCCCCCAAAATTTTCATGTATTCAGAAGTGTGGCTTTTGGAAGGTGACTGGATTATGGGATCAGTCATATGGGTTCATAGCTAAATGAGGTGTTAGGTGGAGGGCTTGCTGAAGAGAGTGCCACTGGGCATGTGCCTTTGCAGGGCATCACTTTCTCCCCACCTTCTACCTTCTCTCTGCTTCCTGGCTGCTACAGGGTGAGCAGCTACCCTCCATTATACCTCTCTATCTTGGAGTCAGTCAACTGTAGATTGAACCCTCTGAGAATCATCAGCTAAAATAAACCTCTTCTCGTTTAAGTTGCAAGTGTTGGGTATTTTATTCCAGCAATAGGAAAGTGATTAAATCTTAGACGATCTTTTATTTTGCAAATACAGTGGTACCTTGGTTCATAAATGCTTTTGTTTACCAACAATTTGGTTTTTGTTTGCAAAATGTACAATAGTGAAGCCTGTGGAACAAATTAAGTTGGTGAACTGAGGTGCCAATATCAGTCTTACCTTTTCAACATCGTATAATGGCTTAAGGCCTTTTTTGTATTTCTACAACTTCACTAGGTACTCTTTCCTTGCTTTAAAATGTAATATATTTTTCTAGCCTCCTTTTCAGGAAAGCAAGACACAATCCATTAAACAAAATGTTTAAAAAATACACAGTATCTCTGAAATTTCTCCACCAATTTCTATTAAAAGCTTTATCTCAGAAATAAGTGCAAGGAAATAAAAGTGTACAACCCAGGCAAGGCACACAATTTTGGTATTTTACACAATTAAATTTTCCCAATAAAGAGAATCTTTTACTTTCTCCCTGTTATTTTTAACAGCCTACTAACAGCTAAAGAAACTTGAGAGCAGTCTTTGTTCAAAACAAGCAGAATGCTTTTGTAGTGAATCACTAGTCAGAGTCTTGCTTTAATAATTTTCCAAGTGAAAAAAACTAAATAGGATTAATTTCAAGTGAGGCTGACCATATTTCATAACCCAAAACAGTACAAATAAATTTTAAAAGAAACTGGATTTGTGGGTATGGTCTGAATCTAATTCTTTAGCAGACATTCCCGCAGACCTTACTACATAACAGTTTTGAAAAGCTTTATAACACTACATGTACAATAATATATTATTGCACTTACTTATATAATATACTTTATAATACTATATGTACAATAATATACAATAATATTAAAATTAATGCAGCTATTAAAAGCATGTCTTAATATATATAAAGTACTAAAATCATACATAGTCTGTTCTCTAACCACTATGAAATAAAATTAGAAGAAAAATTAAGATATTCACAAATATATGGAAATTAACACATTCCTAAGTAACCAATACATCATAAAAATAAAATAGGTCTTGTCAAATAACAAGAAAAGTTAGAAATAATTTGAGATTAAAAAAAAAAATGAAAGCACAACATATGGAATATAATTAAGTAATTTTAGAAGAAAATTTATAGCTGAATTATGTTAAAAGCAAATAAAAGCTGGATGTAGTAGCACACACCCATAATCCTAGCTACTCCAGAGGCTAAGGCAAGACAGCCTAGGCAACATAGTGAGACCTATCTAAAATTTTTTTAAAAAGGAGGCTGGAAAAGCGCCTGCCTGGCAAGCGCAAGGTCGTGAGTTCGGTTCCCGGTACCGGAGAAAAACAAAAAACAAAAAAAAAACAAAAAAAGGAGGCTGGAGGTGTTAGCTCAGTGGTAGAGTACTATCCTACCATGAACCAGGTTCAATCCCCAGTAATGCAAAACAAAACACAACAGAATAAAGATCTTAACTAAGTCCTAAACCAAACAGAAGAAAGGAGCATTAGAATGAACATTAATGAATGGGGGGTGGGGGGCGGAAATCAATGAAACCAAAAGCTGGTTCTATTTGCTGGGGCTAGAGCTGCCAGACCTTTTTTTTTTGGTACCAGGAATCAAACTCAGGACTTTGCACTTTCCAGGCAGGTGCTTGTGCCACTGAGCTGTATTCCTGGCCCTAAGCTGGTTTTATTTGGAAGAACTCTTTAGCTTGACCACCAAAAATATTAGTAAAATCAAGAGAATGAGAGGTTGTACAGTACTGGAAAGGAAAACTGAGTAATACGGTCTGCCAAAAAAGTGATAAATGAGATTGAGAAATTTTAGAAAGATGAACTCCCAAGCTAATTCAAAATGAGTATCTGAAAAGATCTATAATAGGAGACTCAATTAAAAATTTTAAAACTTCACAAAAGAGAAAATCCAAGCCAGATAGTTTTGATGGTGAATTCTACCAGACTGAAGGAATAATTAATACCAATTCTTTAAAACTTGTCTCAAAGAATAGGAGAGAATAATTATAAACATATTCTGCTGAAGCCTTAGACATACACAAAAATTTCAGACCAAAATACTAGCAAACCAAACCTAGCAATACCTAAGGGAAGATTATACACCACGACCAAGTGGGATTTATCCTAAAAATAAAATTGCTTACTTGCAAAATCAATCTTTGTTCCTCAAGATACTTACATGTAAGGATTATAATTTATCCTTAAATCCTTAGTCACTTGGCAGTAGCAAATGTCATTCTCATACCATACCCACTCCCATTCATTCTTTATATCTTTAAACTGCTTAATTTTTTTTGTCAATTTGATCTGGCACTGTGTGTGTATATTTGTTCCCCGCTATACCTCTAATGCTGAGGGACAGCTTGACAATAAAATCAGTCTTCCACAAATATTTAATGGCAGTAACTACATAAATTTCCAAAATACTACTAGTTTCAAGACATTACTCACCTGAGTTCTTCAGGTTTTGGTGTACTTGCTGATAGAATAAAAAAGATAACATCACATTAATCTTACTTTACAGGACGAATTGCTTCACTATTCCTTAAAGTAAAGCCTTGACTTATTGCTTTATAAAAGTCATGTTTCCCAGCCAAAGATTTTTAACCCTTCATCTTACAGAAGTGTTCTGGAGTTCACACTGGTAAAGTAAAAAATGGCAGTTGTTTCCATTTTGAAAACAATTTGTTAAGTGCATACCTTTTCTTTTAAAAGCTCAACTATCTACAAGCCCTGTGGTATAAGCTGACTGCTTCTGAATCATTGCCAGTGAAAAGCAAGGGGTAACTTAGGTTTTAAACACAAACTAAGATGGTTTTATTTATAGTTATATGTTACAAGGCCTAGGATTTGAGCCACAATACCACAAATAGCTATATATTATTTAATTTATAGCCACATCAAAATTATGAATTATTTAAAAACTACTGCCAAATATTAGATCATGGCAGTTATTTTTGGACAATGGACATAATTAAAACTCAAGCTGGGGATTTAGCTCAGCAGCATACAGCTGGCATGGCAAGTGTGAGGTCTTGACTTTGATTCTTGGTACCAAAAGAAAAAAAAGCAAGATAAAACTCAATCTGTATTTGAATACAAATTCAGATTTGAACTCAAACAAATTTTAATTCATTTGTCAAGGTAAGCCATGGTTTTCTTCTATAAGTGAAGCTTAAATAGTTTGGAAATATGTACGTAAGATGTATACTGATGATTACATTTAAAAACTATATTTAACAGAATTCTTAATAATATAGTACAATATGAAATAATTTTTCTTTAAAATGTATCTATCACATGCAAATGTTTTTGTAAATTCCTAAAAGAATCAAGAAATATTTTATTATGAATGAGATCTGTCAGTTAAAGAGGGAAAGAAAATGTTGCTCTACAGAAAATCTGAAATAGATAATACAAAAATTGAATATGATCTCACAATAACATCTGAATTAATATAAAGTTTAATCTCAGCTAACAATATAGGCAATTTCCCCTTGTGTGTTGCTTACAGAACTTTTTCAGCCTGAGAACTACTTGGGTTGACTAGAATAGATCTAGAGAGATTCAGGTAATTTCCTTTCCAGTGAACAATACCAGTATATGACAAACTTTCAGGAAGAACAGTGTTCTGAGACAGGGTTTACTTCACCTTTCATTTGTAGAGTTCGTCGAGAATATCGTTTGCTGGGTCTTCTTTCAAAGGATGTTGATCTTCTTGCTTTATTGGTTTTCGTAGTCTGATACTCGGTTTTCCCACTAAAATAAGGTAAGTCAACAGGAAAACCTGAAGCCTACAGTAACCAGACACACATGAACTTTGCCCTGGAGGAACTACTAATCCTTTTTTATCTCATCATTCCTTCACTTATGTGAGATATACGTAAGTTAGGCTTATGTGAGATACACAACAGATTACACTGCTATTTCTTCTTAAGCATACATGGCAAGTAACTCTAGAACGTCCATGCTGTTATCAAATGCCCTCCCATCTACACTCCTCAGGGTAAAGAGAACAATTAGAACAAGACTATCAGTTACTTTTTCTAATTACAACATGTTTATCACAACAATTTTCCAAAAATATTTAAAAAACTATCATCCTGCTTCTGTGATTTCCATTTCAATTCAGCTAAGAAAATGTTTCCCTATTTTTAAAAAAGTATGATAAAAACTCTCTTACATGATTATATACAACAGACTTGCCACAACATTAGTTCCCATTCTTTAACTCACACTAGTTGATACTCATATCATGTTGAAAAGTCAAAACCACTAATCTGCTATAGTGCAACATAATTTGAAACATTTCTATGACAAGCAAACAAAAAATACGTAAGAATGGGACTTCAGGTTAATAAAAACCCACAAATATTATTCAGATTAATCCCACTCAGAGCAAGATACCCTTTTGTTGTACTAGATGGACAGAGAACTCATAAAACTAGTCATTAAATGAATTTAAACCGACAGCTGGTTAACATATAAGTAAGTTTCAAGAAGGGTTATAAAATCCATAATAAAATTATTATGACTCCACATCTATTCAAGAAATTGTAGCCAAGGAGAATATCACTTTAAAAAAAAAAGAATATCACTTTTTTATTTTGGTAAACGGGTGACTTTGCCAAACTACTTAATTTCTCCATGCTTTATTTTCCACACTGTAAAACAAGAGAAGGTCAGCTACATGAAAGAACAGAAGATACAGAAAGCTGTTATTAAAATTAACCTGTATCTAAATCGTGATCCTAGCCGAATAAATCCTGAGCGATGAGAACTCTTTTGGGCAGGGCCTCGGAGGCGGAAAAAGGCATGATGCTCCACAGCACATTTCCACAAATGTTTGCATGCTTTTGGATGCTCCAGTCTAAAAACAAAAGTATGCTCCTGCTCTTTGCCCTGAAAAAGAAAAGGGTGTAAGAAGAGATGACTATTAGGTTAAACAGTCCTGTTCCTATTTCTGAGATACAAATCCAATCACAGCAGTAACAAGAAGTAATAAAGCATCTAAATTTGCTCCCTGAAACTCATTCCTTTTTTGTTTGTTCTTCTGTAGCACTAGCAATCAAATCTAGGGCAACTACTGAGCTACAACCCCAGCTTGAAGCTCATTTTTTAATAGCTATCTACATAAAAAGGCAGAGTTCAAATCAAGCTATTTTCTAAACTAATATAAATTTATTCTTAAGAGTATCCCCTCTCCTTACTTGATCTTATTTATTAGAAAAACATAAAATGAGGATTTATCTGCTATCCATAGAAACATGTAATAATTTAGGAGCTGGGGATGTAGCTAATTGGCACAGCACTTTCCCAGTATGTGAGGCCTCACATTCAACCCCAGCACTGCAAATAATAATAATGATTATTTAAAGGATCATATAAAATCTGGGCATATATATGAACAGCCTTAAAAATGCTCCCTTTTTTCATCATAATAACCATATCCCCAGGAATCAAATTATAATAGTTAAAATTCATAGGCATTTTTCTAAGGATTTCACATGAACTGCTCCAATGAAGAAGTACTACTATTAGCATAATTTCATAAAAGGCAGAGTTCAAATCAAGCTATTTTCTCTGCCATAATTTCAGATATAGAAACCTGAGGCTAAAAGGAAATCAAGCTCAAAGTCACAAGCTCGCCGGACAGGAAATCAGAATTTGAATCCAGTCAGTCTTCACTCTAGAGCTTACAGCAGTGAACAACTAAATTACACTGCCTCTGTAGGAAAAATAATTTTCTGTAGTAAATAATTTTCTATAGTAAAAACTCAGTATGTCTAAAAACTGAAAAAGGTCAAGAACATAATGGCGGCCTTTAAAAACATACAAAGATGGTGTGATGGCACAAATCTGTAATCCCAGCTACTTGAAAGACTGAGGCAGGAGGATCACAAACTCCAGGCTAGCTGGGTGCCTAAAGTAAAACCTGTCTCAAAAATAAAAACAGCTGAGGATGCAGCTCATTGGTAGTGCCTGCCTAGCATGCGTGAGATCCTGGGTTCAATCCCCAGCACTATAAAAACAACAAAACAAAACAGAACAACTATACAGAGCTGGGGATGTTGCTCAGTGATACTGCACTTGCCTAGAGTGAATGAGGCTCTGTGTTCAACCCTGGAACCACACACACAAAAATAACAAATAAATAAAAATAACTATAGAGATAAATGAATAAAAGATCCATAAGTACTGTTTATATTATAGAATATCATATATAGGTTAAGATAAATGAACTTGATCTATATAGCTACATGTTTAGATAAAATGAACTGGAAATATATAGACATACTTGCACACACAAATAAATTTTAAGAACAATTTTATCATGTGTTATAATGTGTTTATATCTGGATATATGAAAATGAGACCCTATGAAAATGATGGCCAGGCACAAGACAGATAGGTATATTTGGGGCATTACCCTGTATCTATTATTTGTTCATATTTATCTATATAGATAGAAATCTTTATTTCTAAATGACCTCTAATTGAGTGTGGTGGAACATGCCTATATCCCAGCACTCAGGAGGTTGAAGCAGGAGGACTGCCTTGAATTTAAGGCAAGCCTAGGTTACATTCTGAGTTCAAAGCCAGCCTAAATCTCATAGCAGGATTTTGTCTCAAACAAAACAAACAAAATATAAACTATTCTAAATCTAGTTCATATAAAAAAGGAATGTTTCATATTGTTTTGTATTTTTCAGTTTATTTAAAAGATTTTATACTTTAAACTATTTCCCATTTAAAATATTTAACTCTCTATAGTTCATGTTCCTTTTTCCCCCTTTTTTCCCTGTACTGGGACTGAACCCAGGGCCTTTAATTTGAGCTACATCTCTAGCTCTTTTTGATTTTTTAGAAGTATTTTATTTATTTATTTTTACTTTTTAAATTTTTTTTTTAGAGACAGAGTCTCGCTATGTAGTCCAGGCTGGCTTGAACTTGCTATATAGCCAAGGAACTCATGGTGATCCTCCTGCCTCAGCCTCTTGAGTGTGTGCACCTCCACACTCAGCTTTTCAGTTTTTGAGACAGGGTTTCTCTAGGCCTCTGTGTCATCCAGCTTAGATCAAACTTGAAATCTTCTTGACTCAGCTTCCCAGAGTGCTGGGATTACAACTGTGGATCATCAGGCCCCACTCTTCATTATCTTGTTAAAGAACACCAAACACTTGCTTCCCCAAAGGGGGAGATAAAAGGAAGGGAGAGAAGGAAAGAGGGAAAGGGGAAGAGAGTGAGAAAGGGAGAAAGCTGAGGCAGGAAGATCACACTGCTGGTGGGAACACTTTGGAAAACAGATGACCAGTTATCAGTGTATACCCTAGTATTGAGAACTTACTTTTTCATAGCTGAAAACTGAAAATAGCTCCCATCACCCTGGAGCAGCAGAATAAAAAATAATTGTTGTCTATTCATAAATGGAATACTAGAACAGTAAGAATGTGCCAACTATAACTACTCGCCAAAACATGACTAAAGTACACAAACACAGTACTGAAATAGAAGAACCAGGCTACTGTGTTCTCTCTTGTGTGGGTGGCTGCCCTCACACTGCAGGGTACACTTCTATTCCTACTTTTACTTGGCCCAAACTCATTCTGCAGAGCATGTTTCTTTCCCACCCTTAATAAAACTCTGCTACGGATAAAAAGAAAAAGGAAAAAGAAACCAGCTACAAAATTCAAAGTGTAGGTAAAAACTAATCTATGATGCTAAAATCAAAATGATTAGCCTTGGAATACTTCTTTGTAGGGGGCATAGGGGAAATTCTGTGCAGCATTCTCTTTCTTGATCTAATGTTGGTCATAAAAATGCAGGTGAAAATTCAGCAGACTCTTTCCTTGTGTACTTTTCTGAATCTCTATTATACATCAATGATATTTACCAAAAAAACCCTAAGACAAACCTCAAAGAAGGGAAAACATTTCTATGAAACAAAAACCTACAAGCCATTGAAGACTGACAAATTCACCTGTACAGAAACTTGTAGGTACCAGAAATGTAACTCACTGATAGAGCACATGTGAGACCCTAGGTTTAATCCTAGTATCAAGAAAAAAAAAAAAAAAAATTAAAGTACATGGCAAAAAACACTATGACGTATATCTTTAAAAAAAAAAATTTTTAAATTTTAATTTATATCACCAACAGCTAAATCTATAAGAAAAAAGACCAATACCACAAAAGAAAAATGAGCCAAGAATGAAAAGACACTTTGGAGAAAAGAAAATTGAAATGACCCAAATATATGACAAAATGTTTAATCACTCATAATAACAAACAAAAAGTTTACAATGAAATCGTATTTTTCACCTTTTGAATAAAAATGTTTAATAACTCTCTCTGAAAAAATAAGTTAGTATAAATTGGCAGGATCTTTATCCAGGATAAATGTTCATAACCTTAACTAAGCAAATCTACCTGTAGGAAATTATGCTAAGATACACATCGCAAAATATCAATCATGAGTAACTGTCAATTAACTGAGATGTGGTTAAATTAGGATACATCAATATACTAGAATACTATGCAGTTTCAGTTTATATTTTAAAAATATATAATGTAAACTTATTGAGGATAAGCAGATTGCAGTATACAAGTATGCTAACTTGTAAAAAAGAATAAAAATATTTGCTTATATGCATAAAATACCCTTGAAAAGTTATTTAAAAAGCTGATACAGTATTTGAGTAAATCTAAAATGTAATCAATTTTAAGATGTACTACTATTTATGCCCCAATAAAAATGCTACCAACTAAATGATAATTCGATTTTCCTAAAACAGAATTTTATTCTTCTTAAAAGACCACTTTTAGATTTAGATAGGCAAAACACTTAAGCATATCTAACTTGCAAAAAAGGATAATATTACAAAAACAACCTAATTATTATCAAATTCAACATTTGCCTCTTCTGCATCATTTAACTCTTTTGTTGATACAATGATTACCCTCTCTGCTAGCAAGAGATTTCTTCTTTTTTTTTTTTTTTTTTTTTTTTTTTTTTTCTTTTTTTTTTTTTTTTTGGTTTTTCTCCGGTACCGGGAACTGAACTCACGACCTTGCACTTGCCAGGCAGGCGCTTTGCCGCTGAGCTAAATCCCCAGCCCCGAGATTTCTTCTTATCATCACTGATTTCCTTCCAACCTACATGACAGGGCAAACTTCTGCATATATCTCAATAGTAAGACTTCAAACTTTCAAAATTTATCACCTGTTTCATTTACTTTTATAATCTTCTTTCTTAGATTTGGCTAAAAAGGACATTATATATTTCATCTGTAAATAAATCCTGGAGAAATACATGTCCAGGAAAACAAGGAAAAAAATCAAAACTTTTCAAAGCTATAATCCCTTTGCAGTAATACATCCAGCAGTTTGAAATACATGTAAACTTTTCTCTATGTAAACTATTGTCTGGAAAAAAAAGGCTGGCATAAAAAAAAACGAAACGGTGCTATACTCAAAATTCACTTGCTGTAACATGAAGTTTTTTTCCATGTCAATACAAATTTCTTGGTTACACAGCAAAAATCTACTAAAGTTTCATATATAAACTCAAAGATCATTTTCCAAGAGGTTTTCTTATTAGGCAAAAATGACCCTCCCAATAGCAGCATTAAAATTTTGAAGAAAAAAAAAAAACTATAACTGAGTATACAGGAGATTTTAACTGTGTTATATTCGTGTCTTTTTCTCAGTTATTATATATGATTAGACTCACCTATATCCACAATAACCACAGAATATATCCAGAAGGCTACTATCATGTCATAGAGAAACGCCTAATCTCAGCTTTTTACTAATAAATATTTGTGGAATTTACAATGACACTGTTATATTGTATCTTTATGCTATCTATAGAAAAGAAAATGAACAGAAAAATGCTCACCAAAGGAAATACAAGAAGAAAACGTGACCAAAAGTAACTACTGTAACTACTAAAAGAAAATCAAGTTTAAAACAGTAAGATTCCATTATGAGCAAAATTTTAAAAATGAAATCCAATACTGGCAAAGTTTCAGCAAAATTCATGTACTTTTAACTTTTACCTACTGCTTATGAGACTTCACAGTGATACAAACAAAATGCATTACTTCAAATAATAAAGAAGAGAAGGAAAAAGTGAATTGTAAACTGTAAGCTACATGGATATAGATTATTTTATATAGATTTTATCTATATCCTTATATCTATGTCTTAAAGTTCATTAATTTGCACACAGTAAGATTTGGGGCATATAATTCTGTGAGTTATATGTACAGAGCCATATGAAAATATGCCTATATAATAAAACCTAGAGAAAAATAGAGCAAGCCATTTAAAATGGGAGAATGAATACTGAAATAACCTGAGAAACTGAAAAAAATTTGTAATCACTCCAAAATTTTATTGTGAAAATATTTACACATACAGAAAAATCAAACACCCATATATATGAATACATTTGACAACTGCTAATATTTTGCCTAATTTGCTTTTATCTATATCCTTATATCTATATCTTAAAGTTTATTAATTTGCATACAGTAGGATTTTGGGCCTATAATTCTATAAATTATATGTACAGAATCATGAAACTACCACCAAAATCAGGTTACAGAATAGTTCTCTCATCTCTAAAAACGCTCTTCACTTTGTCCCTTTGTAGTCAGATTTCTAACCTGAAGAAGCAGAAATCTTGATTTATTCTCTATTTCTATGGGCTCGCCTTCCCAAATAGTATATAATCTTTGAGTCTGGCTTTTTACCTGGTACAATGCATCTGAGCTGCTTCTGTATGTGTATCATTAGAAAATGAATTTTAATTGACAAAAAAAAAAAATCCTTACTTCAAAATGCTTTATTAAAGATTATTAGGTAGATCTTCCTGCTTAATCTTTTTGGTCAGGTAAAAGGATAAAGTCACTTGAACGCAACTTGTTACACACCTTAAATATATTATCAGTGAAGAAATAAGAACTTTTGTATTACTTTTAATATTACTGGCAGAAAACTATTTTAAGGGCAGTGTGACTAGAGTCATGAATTTACTGTAATCAGTTAATTACTAGGGTTCTGTTCTGTTATTTTTTTAAACAATGAGGCAAATTCCCCCCTTTAGAATATAAGTTACCACATAACACAGTCATTATTAAGTAAGTAAATGCAATTACAATTCCTACCAGTTCATCATCTTCTACCACCACTAGAGTTAATTTATTCTTCTTAAAATCCAATCTGGTTATCTTGGGCCTATAATAATGAGAACCAACAGCCAGATTAGAAAAAATTTTTAAGTATATCTCATCATTTAACTTCTGAAAAGAATACTGATAAGAGGTTAAACATAACCTACCACAAAATTGATGCTGCTCATATATCAAACATAAAGAGTACCGATAAAAAAAGAATATGAAGAAATCTATATATTTCATAAATCCCAAACTGTAAGAAATTCTCCAGACTTGGGTAAAACCGTTTCAGTGTTAAAGGAGCACCACAGGAACTGAACACAGGAAAGACCATAAAGCTTTTTTTTTTCCCCCTTAAAGCATAAATATAAACATTACCTAGTATGGTCTTCTACTCTATTTTCTACAGCAATCTTTTTTTTTATTTTTTATTTTTTATTCTATAACAATCTTGATGTGAGTAAATCCTGCTTATTTGTAGAGGCTGTCCTCAAACTCATGGTCCTACCACCTGATCCTGCTCAGTAGTTAGGATTATAGGAGTGTGACAGGTAAGCTAAAATGTCAACTTCACTGGCTTGGGAGCTGCGTGGATAATTAGTAAGCAAGCTTCTGGATGTGTCTAGGTGGGTCACAGTGGTATGACCTGGGCATCTCTACTGTGCCATGTCCTTACACCATGATGTTTCTACCCAGTCCTGGTGGGTCACAAGCTTGGGTACTACATATGGTCCCTCACCCTTGTTCCTTGGCACTATGCCCCTGCTATGCCTTCCAGTCACGATGAGGGAAACACTATTCCACTGCTATGCTCTTCAGTAATAATGTTTCTGCCTTGGAGCTAGCAGACCAAGGACTGAATCCCTTGAAACTGCGAGCCAAATTAAGCTCTTTAAGTTGTGGGTGTTAGGTACTCTGACCCAGTTAGGGAAAACTGACATGCCATACCCTGCTCAGGAAAAATATCTAAAATTAAAGAACAAGCAAAAAAACCAAGCAACAACTCACTTCTTGGCCCACTTTCCATGTCTATCTTTCTACCTATTAGCAAAGTTCTAACCACCTGCTACATCTGAACTTTGTGCTTGTATGAACTATGAATCTAAAAACTTTGTGATTCTCACTGACACTGACTTATCTTTTAATTTGCACAACAATCTTATGAGGATGTGCTTTATCTTTGCCTAAAGCATTCTCTGGGCATGCAATTCCATCTGCCCAAAGGGTAGCATGGATGTGCCAGAGAATTACCACACCAAGACTGAAGAGATAAATCCTCACTTCTTCATTCACCAAGGAACAAGTAGAAAGGTGTTCCACTCACCTTGGGGACTCATCAGAGTCCCTCCAAGGAATACCTGGAGGTGAATTTGAGTTTGGGTGGGAAGGCTCTGAGATAATCATCCAGACTTCTGTAAAGAAGTTAGTAACATAGGGCCAAAGATACAAAGGCCATTTTTGAATTATGTGAGTAGCATCAGTACAATCCCCTAAGCTCTACATAAGTTCTAACACAAACATAATAATGTAAATACTAATTCCTAACTCAAGCTCTTAGAATACCAAAAATAACATGAAGATCTAAATTATGGTTAGGAAATCCACATAAAATTTATCCCTGATGTGGAGGTGGGTGTGGTGGCGTATGCCTGTAATCCCAGCACTCAGGAGGCTGAGGCAGGAGGATAGTCATGACTTCAAGGCCAGCCTGAACTATGATAGCAAGACCCTGTCTCAAAAAAACCCAAATAAATAAATAAATAAATAAATAAATAAATAAATCATCTGATGTGAAAGTAAAATATAATACATAAGTATGAAAGATAAAGGTCACAGAAAGGGTAGCCAAGCTTAACAGAAGGGGAAAAAATACTAACATGCCTCCCCACTTACACAAGAGTGGGCAAAGGGAGTACTGTATCTGTGGAAAAATAGTAAAAATAATAGCAGCCACACAAAAGGAGGTCCATGTTAATAACTTAATAAAATGTTAATTATTTAATAACTTAATAAAAACAGAAATTTAATTGGGTACAGTAGTGCACATTTGTAATCCCAGCACTCTGGGAGGCTGAGGCAGGAGGACTGCACATTCCAACACAGCCTGGGCAACTCAGTAGGACCCTCTCTCAAACCACAAAAACAATTGGGAGATGTGATTCAATGTGAAAGCCTCTGGGGTTCAATTCCTAGTACTGTAAAACACAAAACAAAAATATATAAAATATTAATATTAAGATATACTTCAATACACCTAGAAGGTAATGGAAAATACAGAAAAATTTTATAAATTACCTCTGGGGAATAGAAATAAAAAGAGTAACAGTATGACAGGACCAGCTGTTTTTCATTTACAAGTTTTCCAAAACTATTTGATTTCCAAATATCTTTTATATGTTAACTCAATATAAAACAAAATAACAGTAAGTATCCCTGACATTAATTCTGCTTACCAAAAAAATAAGCCAATTTTGGTCTCGCCTTCAAAAACAAGGACTCCTGTTGGGGTTAGTCCTAAACTATAGTCATTCCCATCTCTAGCCTAGTTTAAGGAGAGAAAAAAATGTGTTAGTTTAATTTGCAACAATCAGCTTTCACACTGTCATATAACTGTTTAATTTTACTTTCACACTGACTTATTACATACAAGCTAATATACAAGGTATTTTCAACAATGAAGGTATCCAAACTCATATTCTTTGGAAAATTCATAGATTATCTTTTTTTTCTAAAGTAATTGATATACCATACAGTAGTCTCCTCTTATTCATGATGGACTAAATTCTAAATCCCCAGGGATGTCTGAAATCATGGGTAGTACCTAACCCTACAAATAATATATTTTTTCCTTCCCATGAATACCTATGATAAAGTTTAATTTATAATTTAGGCACAGTAAGAAGTCACTAATGAAACAGAACAATTGTAACAATATACTATAATATGAATGTAGTCTCTTTTGCAAAATAGTTTATTATTTCTGAAATTTTCCATTGAATATTTTTGGACTTTGGCTGACTATAACTGAAACCACAGAGAGCAAAATCACAGATGAAGACATAAAGGAGGATACTATGGTTATAAGGTATAATAATGGTTTTCAATGAATGTGGGTAGGTAACTCCCATTATAAAGAAACCTCTGCTCAGATTCATTCCATATTAAATTTACCATTTAAATCAGAAGTCCAGAAAAAGACTGTTTTCTCACAAATATGCTGTTAGTGAAGCTAGAAGTGAATCATTGCCCAAGCTGTCCTCTCAAGCTTTAAGTTTTCAATTTGTTTCCTGAACTATTTTAACAGAGCTTGGTGAATAGTGAGCTCAAGTGATATAAGAGAAGATAAAGTGAGAAAGATAGAAGTGGTTTTAAGGGCCAGAGACATAGCTCAGTGGTAAGCACTTGCATAGCAGGTACAAGGTCCTAGGTTTGATTTCCAGCACCATGTGAAAACACACTATGATCAAAATGCTAAAACAAAACAAAAACAAGCAAACTTCTCACATTTAAAAAAAAAACTCAGAAACACATGTATTTTGCAAATTATGGTAATTTCTCTTCTAATAATGACATTTTCCATTCTAGTAATTCAATATTTAATCTCGGCCTTTTTATCCAGTGCTAGCCTATGCAACTCCATGCCCTTCGCCACACTGTATAATTCAGGCACAGAACGTTCCAAAGAAATGAATTCTTTAAAAGGTACAATAACACAGTGCTTACCTTGACTACATGCATATCAACCCCATACATTTCTAGCCATTTGGCTTTATTCAGATAATTGGTTTCAGCTTGTGCTGGTGTCTGACCTCTGAAAATTAAAATATTTTTTAAAGTATATAAATTTGATTTTATATAAAAGGTAGAAACAAAAGAAAATGAAAAATGACTACTGTGTTGATGATACAAAAATATGATCAAATAAATACCTGTATTCCTTCCACTTTTCAAAAATAGCTAGTTCCATCTCTTCAGTCTGAATGGGCACAAACCTGAACTCAGACACAAGTTCAGGACTATGTTCAGCAAGATCAAAGTCACCAAGTTCAGCTACAAATATAAGTTTCATAAAGTTATGTTGTGTTCATTGTATATTAACAATGTATATTGTTTCTTTACGGAAAAATACTATGAAATATAAAAATCACTAATAAGATTAATTCTATTTATCTAAAGTTATAGGCACAGAATGTGATACCATATAACACTGTATATAGTCCATGTCTTCTAGAATGTGAGATTACTAATCCTAAAGAAACAAGAATTACCACTACCACCACTATCACCATCACATCACTGCCCCCTAAAAAAAACAGTGAGAAGAAACAACAGGAAAAGAACTGGACAATGCACATTCACATAGTTCTTTGTGCTTATCTCTGTCTAGGGACAAATGGAAAACATGTATCCAGTTTTCTCCCTTCTTCCCTCCTTACATATTTTTTCAATGTTGGAAACTGAACACAGGACCTCCCATGCTTTAGGCAAGTGCTTTATTACTGAGCTATATACACAACCCCAGTTCTCTATGATTGAAATATTTTCTTGAAAAGGAACATTTTACTTGCACTTATGTATTTATTTGTAATTTAAAAAAAACTTAAGTGCTTTATTACTGAGCTATATACACAACCCCAGTTCTCTATGATTGAAATATTTTCTTTAAAAGGAACATTTTACTTGCACTTATGTATTTACTTGTAATTTAAAAAAAACTTAAAATTCAATTAAGGAGACAAAAACACATGAATTATCTTCATATAATAAACTGTAATGGTAATCAATCATAATTAAGTTCTTAGTCCATACTGGAGATGTATTTATAAAGCGCCACTGTGAGTTAAACATTTGTTAAAATATACAAATACATATGAATAATATTTTTAAACAGTATATATACTCTGGCTGTCTTGAAACTTACATAATGAAGCACAAATGATATAGGAGACAATTGGTAAATGGTATAGTGAAAACAACAGTTTTATAACAGAACTAAGTAAGATTCCAGAATTAACACTCTCCTACAGGAAACAATAAAATACAAGTGCACTTTCAAACAATTCTTTGTGAGCTAGGAGTGCAGTTTGTGAGCACTTGTCTAGTATGCATGAAGCCCTGAGTTCAATCCCCAGCACCACCCCCACCCAAAATACAACTACATGCTCTGATCATTACAATGCTAGAGACACAGCATCCCTAAGCTAGTAAATGACTTGATATTATGTAGATAAGTGACAGACTAGGATAGTAAATAGAAGCAGGCAGAAAAAAATTTGAATTAGTAGAAAATTTTTGAAGTACAGAAATGTTCTCATCACCAGTTCCTATTATCAACAAGAAAATAGGCTTTCTTTTATAACAAACAAAATAAGCAAACACATTAGGTTTACAATAAAACATAAAATTTAGTCTTATCTATACAATGGTAAATAAGCTACTAGTGATCTTAGAGGGCTTGGGACTAAAGTCAGAATCACTAAAAAAGTAGAGAATTGAAGTTTTGATTGCTATTAAACATTATTTTTATTCTAGTGCAGTGAATGTGAATCTTTTAGGGACCAAGTGGCAAACTGCAACCCAAAACCCACTTATTTATCACAAAGTAGCAACACTGTAATCAAACCTGAATACTGAGGTTTTAGTTTAGGAAAAAAAAAACAAAAAAACAACAACCCATATAGTAACATCTTTTGTCTTAAAAGAAAAATACAATTTGCCAGGTGTGGTGGCACATGCCTGTAATCCCAGCACTCAGGAAGCTGAGGCAGGAAGATGGCTGTAAGTTCGAGACCAGCCTGACCTACAAGTGAGTTCAAAGCCAGACTGAACTGCATAGTGAAACCCTGTCTCAAAAAGACAAAAACAAACAAAACAATTTAACATGCATGCCACAGGTTTGCCACCACTGTTCTAGTAAAGATGCAGATACAGGAAAATCTTTATTTTGTGAACAAGGACAAAAGTTACAGTTTTCTTTATAATGTCCATTTTCAGAAGAAAATTCCTAAATATAATAGTATTTAATCAGTGTAACAGGGTATGAAAAAGTAAGCTTTTCATTAATCTCATTTACTAGACTAAAACTTTAAAATGATCATCAGAACCTTTTAAATATACAATACGTAATTCTTCCATGGATTCATTTTAAGAATAAGAATAAAGAAAGAATATCATGTGGCTTCAGCAGAAAATACCACTGCATTTTCTAAAGGAAAATATTAGCTGAGGGCCCAATCATAAGATTTACTGAATTATCAAGTAAACTCCAATTTCTGCTTGAAAACATTAGAGTTGGAAAGGGGGGCAAAGATAAGAAAGGGAATAAAAAGAATACAATGTCCTAAGATAAATAACAGTTGGACACTGACACACATATATACAAAAACAGTGTTTCTTTTCTTGCAAATGATTTGACTCTTCAAATTCTTTAAAACACACACAAGAACAATTATGCTTTAGGTTTAACAGTCAGCACAAGAACTGCTTACCTTGTAGATTATAAGCTGCCAACTGCACTGCTGTATCGAAGGGACATTCTAATCTGAGACCAAAACATAAAATTGTTAAGTCAATTTCATAATCTTCATGTTAAGATAAATAAAAGTAATACATACTTTGTTGGCCATTTCATTTCCATAATTATGAACTTATTTTCAGAATCATTTTTCAACTACTGTAGAAAATGTGCAGTTATTTGCTCAACAACTAATACTCACTTTCCACTGAGAATATCTTGTTTTAACTGAAGAACAAATAAATACCTAAGAAAAATAAAAGGCACAAATGAATAATCCACTATGAAAAATCTTACCCTTCTAATTTGAGGATATTTATAACTGTACAGTTTTACTCATAATAAAGTACATAAGGAAAAAATATGGAAAAAGGGGCAATAAGCCTCAGGAGGATGGAAGCATGACCACAAGAGAACAGCAAAGAAAAGCTGGCCACACAGTGTATTACAGTAACCTTACAAGAAAATGCTTAAAGCATATTATTGAGAACAAGCTTTGTAATCTAACTTTAATTAACACATCCTTTTTATACATGGAGAGACACTGCATGGATAGATTCTTGGATAACAACTATAATCTCATTGGCGAAAGTGTTCAAGAGGGAACCCTTCCAAAGGAATTCTCTGACTCAACTTCTTCATTTAATGAAGATTATGTATGCATGGAGCCATGCATATGTAATACAGAGTCAACAAACACATATCAAGGAGGCCGAATAAAATAAAGTATATACATCCTAAAGTTTATGTAAAATGACTGAAACCAAATGAGGATCTAACATTTTCATTCTTTGGTGGCATTTTAATGAGTAAAGAGTCAGGAATTAAGTTGAATGAACACTCAGTGGCCAGAGAGATTACTTTGTATGTCCATAAACACGATACTGCAATGTACTGAAACACAACAACCTGTTTAAAATCTATGGGTTAACAATATGCAAAAACAAAACAAAACAAAACAACCACCGCCCCCCCCAAAAAAGAAAAACCTCACTAGTTACCTTTGGAGGATACTAGGGAACCAAATATTTTGAAAATAAATGAAAAGACAGAATCAAACACTTAAAAAGCACTATTCCAGCCAGGGGCTATGGTAGTGCACACCAATAGTCCTAGTACTCTGGAAGGCTGAGGCAGGCGGATTGTGAGTTTGAGCCTGACCTTGGTAACTTACTTAGTGACATCTTGTCTCAAAATAAAAAATAGCCAACATGGTAGTACATGCCTGTAACCCCAGCACTCGGAAGGCGGAGGCAGGAGGACTGCCACAAATTCAAGACCAGCCTGGGCTACACAGTGAGTTCAAGGCCTGTCTAAACTACATTGCAAGACCCTGTTTCAAAAAGCCATAAAACAAATAAACGACAAAATACAAAGTAAGAGCTGGAGATGGAGCTCAGTGCAAAGGCCCTGGGTTTAATCTCTAGTACTGCAAATAAAATAAAACAACACAATCACTGTTCCAGAACAAAATTCACTGAGGTCTTATTACCAGGGGCAAAGAATCTATTTCACTGTTGTCTACAAAGTGAAAACAATCCTAAAATTAATTCCAACACTACCAAAATAAACCTACACAACTCTAGATAGCAATCTTACCGGGTTAGTTCTTCACGAAGATTGTTTGGCTCTGAGGAATAAAATTTAACTCGAAGATGTAGACAATAAGGTGAACCAACTGTCATAAAAAATAAAAGGTTAGTTCTATTTAACTAATAATACTTTTCAGCCAGTAAATCTGTTGAAAATCTATAGAAGTGGGACAAAAGATAACAGGTTACTACTACGTAGTACTAGATAACCGGTTACTAGATTTTTTAAATGTCCTTATTCTCAAGAGCCAGAGTTTTTAATACATTTGATTTCCATTTTCTCTACAAGTAACTTTTACAACACTTACTTTTAACTTGCTTTTTGATGCTTTTTGTACCATCCAACCAATGCTGAAAACAGATATAAAAAAGTTCAAGTTAAATAGATGAAAGAACTTCAACATTTTAATTGCTGAAGGTTAATTTTCATCATGCCTTTGTTGATAACCACAATGAAATATTTCACAAAGGAAAGACCAAAGGCAGTGAGCAAATGACTATGAGAAAGGAAGGGTGGAGATCACTCTAACACTCATGCTAAGCTTATGACGTATACAGAAGAATACCTAAAACCTGATATATGACTTCTCAGAAACACTTTTCCTGTCCCTCAATTACCAGTTTAATAGTCTAAATTTTGCCCTAAGTTGTTCTCACTGCTCCCAAATAAAGGACTTTCAAAACTGTTAAAATTTAGAAAGGGCTGGGGATGTGGCTCAGTGGTAGACTATTTGCCTAGCATGCATGAGGACCTGGTTTTCACTGCCAGCACTGTATATATAAATAAGCAAATAATAACAAACAAATAGAAAAATATTCTCACATTCCAGTACCTGATTCATTCTTACAACAGAAATGTGAGATTTATAGACAGACTGTAATGTAACGAACAGATGAAGTAATGTAACGATCACCTACATCTTTTTAAAGTAGAAACTACTCAGAATTAGTACTCTCTGAAAGAGCACACAGAGTAAAGTTAGATTTTTCTCATAACCAAGGCCCTATCCATTAAATGAGGTGCTCTTGTTCCTCTGCACTGTAATCAGCAGATTTCTGGTTTCAATTGTCACAACCTTTTGATTTATACAACCTCTTTATGATGAAATGCCCATGACACAAACAGACCTAAAAACTAATTCCAAATACTTTCACTCACATTCCCAGATCACTTTTCATTATTAATCCTTTTACATGGCCAAGTCCTAACAGTGCCAGCACTCATCCAACTGAGATATACATGACTGAATTATCTTTAGCATGTTTTCAATTCCAAGGACCCTAAAGGAAAGGAGTACACTTGTGGTAACTAGTTCACACAGCAAAGGAATCCAGTTTCAGAAATCCAGATAGGCAAAGAGTAAACAAGGCCACATTGTTAATACAGTTGTAACAGTTTGCTTTCCTTGCCAATTATTTGCCTAGCCTCTCCTCTCCATTCTCTCCCAACATCCAAAATGAAATTCTCAGAAAGACCAGTGTGCCAGCAAAGGCTGTTTCACCTTGAAATAAGATGCTAAGTACACATTTCAAAGAGCAAGTAAGTACCGTGCAACATTTTCTCTGGATTCCAATTTGTGCAGACTATTTAGCCATCTTTTATCTTTAAAAGATTCAGCTGGACATCCACTTTTAAGCATATCTAAACCTAGCAAATGTTTAAACATCCCTCCGTATCAACAGACCACGTAAGGCATACCAGCAGGCAGAACACAATTCAATCTATTAGTACTGAAGAACTGATGGTTCATCCATCCCTTCCCCAAAATCCAAAAATTCCAAACTTAATTCCTGTCCCCAAAACCTACTACAGCCTAATGTCAATCACATACAAGATATAAGATAAAACTAGTTTTCATGCCCCAGAATGTTTTCTCCCAAAACCCATGGACCTCAGAGTTGCCCCATCTTCAGGTTTTATCTTCTATAATGCAATAAAAAATATAAGTCTCTGGGTGGTCACTGAACTCTGTTGCATGTAATCATGGTTAGGGAGACTCTCATATATATAATGAGTACAGAGAAACACTACCGTTCCAGGATACAGAAATAACTACATGTACAGATTTACCACTGGTTAAAATATTTAAATATGAGAGAATACAGCAATTAAAAGAATGAAAACATATACTTAAGGGTCTGAAACATTATTTACTATATATTATTTTTTAAAAGGTATGCTATAAAGTATAATTTTGTCAAAAAGCACAAATTTGCATAAACATGCATTTTCTTTCATACAGAGACGACCCATAACAAAATAGTAACAAATATGTTATCTTTAGGAGACTGAGAATGTTGGTGATATTTTTTCTTCTTTGTGCTTTCCCGTATTTTCTACTTAGTTTGCAGTGAACACCTATTATTTAATACAACAACCATGGACACTTTTATTTTAATTTTTACATAGGTAATAAATTTACATATTTTAATATTATAGTAATATTAAAAAGCATACAGTCAACCATCTCCCCTCAAACCAATATACCACATGTACTTCCTGTAAGAAATTACAGATTTCTCTTGGTAATTACAAACAGAATAAACAAAAAATTTTAACATATGAGTGTTAGTAAAAAGTAAAGAACATTAATGATACGACTAAACACAGATTAGAATAAATTTTGTGGAATATAGAAAGGAAACATTAATATAAGACCACTTACTAAAATCTTTTTTCATTAGCTAAGTTTAATTGGTTAAACTATTTAGAACCAGTCTCATGACCAGAGGTGTCTTTCAGGCTGGTATTTTAGTCTCTTTTCTAACTCTACGTAGCAGCTTGTAGTATCTGCACTCTCTTAAGACACCCAAAACTCAGATAAAGCATCAAACACATTTTAAAGTGAGATTTAGGAGCTGGGGAATTCTGGGTGATTTTCTTCTGGGCAAGGTCTGAGTTCATGTTTGCATATTCTCAAGTCTGTTTTCTTTCATCTCCTCCACATTCCAGGACCTGAGAATGGAAAATGCAGAGACAGGCACAGACAGTATTTTCCTTAAATCAGTGTCTTTAAGAGGTTGAATTTAAATCACATGAGAAGATAGAGGTGAGTGTGTGCATACAGATTCTTAGTGCTCAGTATAAAACTAGTTAGGTTTGCACCACACTTTTAAAAGGCAACAAACCCCTTTCTAATTTCCTGTTTTTAAAAGTTTAGTTGATAAACTTAGATATTAAAGACTGAGGAATGCTACACTTAGTTCCATCCTACTGAACTTGGTTTAAAAGAACTTATTTACTTGTCTGTCTAAAATATGAACAGTATATAATGATAAATACAACAGACATAACTAAACCAAACAAAAAAAATCACCTAGGAAGCTTCTAAAACATCAACATACACACACCCTCATACCAGGTCCTCCAGCCAAATAGTCTGTAAACAGCTTTACAATGATTTCCTGCCTTTTAAATACCTACAAGGTTTACAAAAGACACACACCACTGACTCCTGCTCAAAGGGCAGAGCTTACAGCAGAGAAATGTTAACTATCTTTCAAAACAATTACTTCAGCAAAAAAATATTTCCTCTGTGAGTAGAGGCTTATGTCTTAAAATGAATTATTTTAAAACACATTTTTAACATTTGCACAATTTTAGAAAATGTTAAAAACCTTTCCTAAAAAGCAGGGGAAGAATTCACTTTTATCATCGTACTCTAACTCAAAACACTTCATTTTGGTTTAGATTCCATTATAAATTCTTTCCAAGTCATTTTTTTGGAGTTAAAAGTATGCTATCAGACATTCCAAAAGACAACATAGTCTTCCTCTCCCTGTATGTTGTTAGCATGCTTCTCTTAGGATCTAAAACTGTCACACTTCAAACTGGGCAGAGTGGTGGCACACTTACAATATCAGGACTCTTGGAGGCTGAGGCCAAGAGGATTCCAAACTTTAGCCCAGCCTGGGTAATTCAGCAACTTAGTGAGACCCTGTCTTAGAATTAAAAAGCAAAAAAGGATTGGGGATGTGTACCTCAGTGCAAAAGCTCTGCGGTTCAATACCCAGTATGGGGGGGCGGGCATCACACTCCTAAAGGGGACGAGGGATTTAGTGGGTTATACATTCACTCTCCAGAGAGGGAATACATGATTTACTCCAAAGATACTTTAAAAGTTTACTACCAAAATTGCATGGTATCTCGTTAGATTTTAGCAGTCATTTTTATGCTTATTATTTTATCTTCATGCACTATAAATTATGTACAATATTGTCTCACTTTAATAAACTGATAACTTCAAAACATGTTTTATTCTACAAGAGCTTAACGCATTTGTAAAACTTGGTAAAAGTTTGTCAGAGCTTTAACTTATATGGTCCTAATTTATTTCCCGTACTGTTCACCCCCTCCCACCATGGAATGAATGAACCCAGGGCCTTCATACTGAGCTGCATTCCCACTCCAGCCCCCCCTTTTTTTTTTGAGACAAGGTATTTTTAAATTGCTAAGATGCCCAGGCTTGGCTCAAACTTGTGATCCTCCTTCCTCAGCCTCTCAGTGCTGGGATTACAGGCATATGCCACCACCATATCTGGTTTTCATTATTTCTTTTGAACAGAATTCTCTGTGGGAGTCAGTGAATATTTTTGTGGTGGGCCAGGTGTGGCGGCACATGCCTATAACCCCAGCACTCAGGAGGCTGAAGCAGGAAGATCACTGTGAGTTCGAGGCCAGCCTGGGCTACAAAGTGAGTTTAAAGCCAGCCTGAACTGCATAGTGAAACCCTCAAAAAAGACCAAAAAAAATTTTTTTTGTGTGTGTGCTACTTGAGGTCTGTTCTGGTTTGATTTTAGTGTCAGTCAACAATCAGCAACATACTACATGCAAAACTATCACAAAGCACAAAGATCTATAAAGGAGACAACATTATGCTCCAGAGTCAAAATACCAGTGTGATGGCTGAGGAGAAGAATTCCAAGTTTGAAGCCAGCCTGGGTTACATAGTGAGTTTTAGCCTCGCCTGAGCTAAGTAGCAAGACCCTATCTCAAAAAGACAAAAGAAAGATCAAAATACCTAAATTTAAAACTAATCTCTAGCTGCCAATTAATCACCCCAACAAAAAACCTTCACAGAAGAGTTTTCTGAGGGTTGAGTTAGGAAAGTATTGCCTCCTTCCCCTGAAATTATTCAACATAAATACAAGGAGTTATCTATATTTCTTTAATTATAGAAGTCATTCATAATATAGCACTTTATAGCAATAAACAGCTTAACACTGTAGATAAAAGCAAACATACTATTACTCTCATATAGTGATAAGGTTTAATTTGGCAACATGATTAAAAAGCTTAAAACTCTTTGTACTAATAACTCCATTCCACAGAATATATTTTAAGAAAAAAT